ACGTTTACGTTACGTTACTTACGTTACGTTACTTAACTTACGTACGTTACGTTACTTACTAAGGTTACTTACTTACGTTACGTTCTTCTTCTTACTTCTCTCTCTCTCTCTCTCTCTCTCTCTCTCTCTCTCTCTCTCTCTCTTCTTCTCTCTCTCTCTCTCTCTCTCTCTCTCTCTCTTTTACACACATGCATTTTACATTGTACACTTTTTTCAGCATTTGGGGCTTTGCAAAGTCATGAAACTGCTAAATATCTTGGGTGAGAGCATCACAATGGCTGCTTTTTGCAGGTGAACTATGGTAATTTTATGCATGGTCTCTTGAAGGAGAACATCCAGCTGAACAGGAAGGTGCTCTCAGAGCTCTCTATGCATGAGCCCTACAGCTTCAAGGCCCTTGTTGACATTTCTCGTGCTGCATTCCCTGGAAATAACCCTCAGAAAAAGGAAATCACCCCCCCAAAGAAGGGCATCGCTGCATAAGCATACGAGTCTTGGTCTTCTTGCACTATCTTTGTACAAGTGTAAGGGCTGTGTCATTGTTTTTGTTGTTCTTAATTCCTGTGTTTGGCCTGCTCTTAATTGTCTTGGGATAATGGCTAAAAAGCACTGATCCCTTCTTAAATGACTCAAATCCTTCATGCTTATGCAGGTTGAGCCAAGGACTCAGGATTTAGTCTTGGAGTATTGGGCCAGGTTTGTTTATTGTGCTAGAATTAGATTTGAAATGGAGCTTATGCTCACACTTATTATGTGAGTTCTTTTATTAGTGGACATTGATTACCAATATTTTTTTTTTTTAATAATATGTTTTGGTCCTTGCTGCTGTTGTTATTATCTTTGGACTTTTCTTGCTAGGAGAATAAATGAGATGACTTTTTTTTAAGGGTTAGGTTTGTATAAGGTGTCATTCTTATACTATTAAAGAACTATGCTTAAAATGCAGTTTCGGTGCTGCAAAGCCTCGCAATGATATGAAAATCTATTGTTGCCCCCAATTATGAAATTTAAAGTTCTAGAAATGGTGACCATCAAGCTGATCTATAAACACTTGAAAATCTTGAAAATGAACAGTCAAGATAATGTCTTAGAAGATGAACTATTACCTTTTTCTATGAATCTTGAGGTCAAGATGATCGATTTGAGGGTTTTCCAGCATAGGAACAACCTTCTCTGGTGGGTTTTTTAAGTGCACCATACTCGTATAGTAGAAGGTTGACACCTTATATAAACTTTTTCCTTTTTGTAATGCCCCCATACAGTGAACTTTGGATGGACATACTTGGGCCTTTATTGCAAATTACTCTCCTTTTGTCAAGTATGAAGAATTCTTGTGCGGTAGATCTGCTGATGATATTTGTGTAAATGGGGACTTTGAAGCCTATGCTTTTTTCATGACGCATAGCGTTTCCCATGCTGCAAATGTAAAAGATTTATTTACTCTTCTGTTGAAGAAAAGAAACCCCTGCACTACTATTGCAAATCGCATTTGGGGTATGGAGTCTGGTTATTTGTTGAGTAGGCAGGCCAAGTCCAAAAAACCTGCCATCATGTGGGGAAAGTATACAAAAAGACCGTTTATGTTTGGTACAAGGTCATAAGTCTCATGTGAAATTGGGTAGCTGAGGTTTGGTCACTAAACATGTCCATGTCCATGTGAAATTGGGTAGCTGGGGTTTTGTCACTAAACATGTCCCTGTCCATGTGAAATTGGGTAGCTGGGGTTTTGTCACTAAACATGCCCAAGGTACGAGAAAAGGGTTTTTGAACATTGTGCAGAGAAGAGGAGAGACACCTCGATTTTCTTGACTCCCACAATTATGAATAATCTTAAGAAGAGAAGATTTTAACCTTAAAATTTAAGCTATATAAATTTTATCTATGCATCGATTATTTGTAGTACAATTTTGTTTAAGTTATTGTTGATCTAGAGCAAAACTGCATCAAGAATTAGTATGTGTTTAAGATACCAAATCCATATGTAAGATGGACTTTTGTAAGGGAAAAATGGCATACATGTGTTGGTGTGATTTTTACTAAGCGATCCAGTTTTTCAATTGAAAAAAGTATCGAGCGACCCACCATCTGTGTTTGGCCGTTTGGATATTGGTGCCAAATTTATGAAATTCGCTTGCCGTCGGCTGCATATGTAAAAACGTTTTAGGTTTTATTCGTAAAATAAAGAGAAGAAAATGCTAAATTTATTGGGGGAAAGTTACCAAAATACCCATTAGAGATGAAATATTGAACATTTTGTGCAATTTGCAACTATTTCAACTCCAGGCTTTGTATTTTTTTTTTAATGGATGTTTTGAAATTAAATGAACATTTGCAACTATTCCAACTTGAGATTATGTTTGTTTATGAGGGTTTTGAAATTAAATCAAAAGATATGGGAGAAATGTGAAATGGTTCATCCTCATGGGTAATTTAATAAACTGCCCTTTATTGAGGGAAATATTAAATGAAAATAGGAGAAAATATTTCCCCTAAGAATATAAAAATATAAAAAATTAAAGGGGGAAAAAAGATAATTTATTTTGTCATTCATTTATCTATTTTCTTATATGTTATTTTTATTCATTTTACTATTGAAAAATGGAAATCTTCTCAACAAATGACACTAAAACCAAACCACTCCACAGTGAATGGCATCGATTGGTGCCTTTAACCAAACAATAAGCAGTTGTCGCATAAGCCATCTGATAATGAAAATGGAGATGCACATGATATGCAGTACGTATGATCTCTAAAATCAGTATTGTAGTGATCCTGACCTCTTCAGACTTCGCAAACACAATAACTGACTTGGTAGATCAGTTTACACTCGTTAAATAGTTCAAATCTTAATGTAGTTCCGATCGGTCCGACTCACCGCAAAGTCCCCTAGTGGTTTATTAATGCTGAGTAACTCACTCTAGTTCGAGTGGACCGAGCTACAAGACCAAAACAAAAGATAAAAATTTGTTAAAAACAAAAAAATTGAAATAAGTCATAGAAAAAGTCAAAAGTTTATTAAAATTCAAAAAAATCAATAAAAGATGGATTATTAAAAATTAAGTTTATACGTTGAAATATTTCAAAAAAAATAAAAAGGGAAAAAAAGCAATAGTTGGAACATGCAATAATAAAAGTTCCCATGTCCTCACAAAAGCCATATAGATCATGTAAAATAATATGATTTTATAAATCATATACGAAGATTTTTAACAAAAGCAAACTTTTTAATATTTTTTAATGGGGGAGCTGCCCAAAAACTCACCTTGGACATGAGTTACTAGGCCGATTCCAAGTGAAAACAGCTGAGTCCTTGACATTGATTTTAACATATTATCCATTTTTAACTATTCCATCTGATTATCATGTTCTCTTTATAGAATTTTAAAATTAAATTAAAACAAATGGGCAAGATGTTAAATAGTACATCATAGAGATTTTTGATAAAATTCCCTTGTTTTTTAAAGTGCTTCCCATGAGATACCATCAATAAACGGTTTATCGTACTTGAGATCAACTTTAAGGGGCCTGTGGAAGTTCAAGAGCTAAAAAGAGAGAACTATAGATAATCTAAAAGCGTAAAGAACCATCAAACTAATTTAGGAAACAAAACAGAAAAGAGCATACAGAACCAGAACCAATTATTGAAAAAAAAAAAGAAGCAAACCAGGATAATTATATCTCAGATTCGAAGGTTTTAACTCGAAAGGACTTGGGCAGACCAACTGAAATAAAAAAACAAAATTTAAGTTAACTGTATTAATAACAACACACTAAGAACTAAAAAAATAAAAATAAAAAACAGCACACTAAAACGACTAGTTTCTTCTCCATAGCAGCTTCTACTCAACATTAGCACCTGTTTCCCAAGTAAAACCAGTAATAAAGTCAAAAGCTTCATAACTTATTATAGCTTGAAAATTAAGGAGCTGACAAAATGCACATGTTTGGTAATTTCTCACAAAACAATTTGCCAAAAGAATAAATTTGACGTAAAGCGAGCTTTTTTTCATAGGGAAAATTTTATATAGAGCCGAGGCTCTAAACAATCAAATACCTAAAAAATTTCACTAGAAGAAGTTGTTTTATGCTCAAATTGATCATCTTGACATCAAGTACACGAATCAAGTACACGAACACGAGAAAAAAATGGATTTCAAGTTTTGAAAATAATATATTTTTGTAATGCATTTTTTGGACCATCACTTTTCAAGATTTTCAGGTTTTCATACATATGTCAATCTACACTATTTTTTAAGCTTTAAAAATTATAAATAGATATGAAATATCTTTTAAGGCTATCACAAAGATTTCCGGTATTGAAACACATTTCTCGATACTATTTGAAGGTAGGCTCTAATTTAATTGTTTATAGCCTAGGCCGCACACTTTTTTATAACTCATAGAGCTCGCGAAACCATGCACCCCACTTTTCTCCAACAATAGTTAAAAATATGTGTTGAAATTCAATGTAACCAATTAACATCAAACTTTATTACCCTTCGGTCGAAGGCAACAGATTTATCCATTTATCAGAATTACCATACCAAAAACACAGCATAAAACTCAACACCTAAATTAATTTGACCAAGAAAACGGCCCCTTCAATTATCAGAATCGGAGCCAAAAAGCTTAATCCTCGACAATGGTGTCTGCAAAAAGCCCTCAACTTCAAACTTCTTTGGTGCAAGCTCATGGTACTTTGCAAACTCCTCTCTTGCTTCCTTATTCTTATCCAAAAGACTGTATATAACGCCCTTACAAAAGTAAGGCCGGTAATCTTTTGGATCCTCTTTTGCAAGTTGCTCATAATTCTCCAAAGCCCCATCAATATTCTTTTGCAGATACATAATCTGTGCCATTATAAGCTTAACATCTCGGGCCTCTTTCTCGGAGCTTGCGACCTGTAAAGCCTCTTCCAGTCTTGCTAAAACAGCGGGACCTTCTCCACTCCTATCCATTAACAAAGCATTCTCAAATAGGGCTTCAAAAGAAAGGGGATTTACAGAGAGAATCTCTTCGAAAACGGATCGAGCTTCATTGGGTTCCCCCATCTCGCTGAGGAGCCTCGCCATGAGGAACTTCCATTGAAGCTCAGAGGGCTGAGACTCAACCAGACGCCTGAGGATTTTCATGGCTTCTGTGTCGTTACCCGCTTCTAGGTTTTTGAAGAGGAGGGATTTTAGGGCATCAACAGCACTTGGGTTGTTTTCTAGGAAGTGGGTTAATGGAGATGACTCTTTGTCTGCAACTTCCGGCTGAGAAGTCGCCGGGTAAAGCTCTTCAGCCCTATATTTGGCCGGAATTGCTAAATTTCCGGCCAAAAGAGCCGCAGTTAAAACCGCTGTTTTTGCCGTAATCCTGATAGTTTGGATCAATGGGTTTTTGGGGGGATTAGAGAGATTGAGATTAGGAGAAAAATCTGGGTTTGGGGTGGAGTTAAAGACTCTAAATTTAGGGTTTTTTGTTGGTCCAAGTGCGAGAGTTCTGCTTAACGATGCCGCCATTCTTGTTGCAGGCGATAGGTTGGATGGGGGTAGATAGAGCAGGCGGCAAGATATAAATAGGAAATATGACTATAATGCCCTTGACATTGGGTTTTAATTACTCTTATAGCCTTGTATAAGGGACGTGTTCAGTGAGCTCTTAAGCTTAGGGTTTAGAACTTGAGATGAGTATAGAATTAAAAGCAGGGAGATTAAATATCCCTTTTCTTAAGTATATATATAGTCGTGGGAGCAAGGCACACAGGGGATAGG